TAGTACTGTCGGGGTACTAATAATTAGCCCACATGTTTCTTCATACTCTTACATGAAGCTACAGCACTGAATATACTGAAGAATTTTTACTTTTTCTTTTGCAACTGCTTCTTTCTATACAAGTAGCCTGACTAGACCGTTACAACAGAGTAATTCTGCTGCTGTAATAATACTGATGAGTTTTCACTTGTAGATTTCATTTATTAGCAACACAACTAATACCAGTATTCAAGTTCCTAGCTCTAGTCCTTCTGATAGTCAGGAATACATAATAATTGGGAGCCATCAGATAGTCAGTGGAGAAAGTTGTCCTGTAGCAGAACAAGACTGTATCGACAAGAGGAACCAGACTTACCTTGGAGATGCACAAAAACCAACAGAAACAAGTTGCAACATGGGAAATTGTTGTTAGCTTTAAGGAAAATGTTTTACCAAGGGGATGATCATAGCTGCTGAAAATGTAGAAATTCCTTCCTTGGAGAAATTTGAAGCTTAACCAGACTAGACCCTAAGCAACCTGATTTACTTGGCACCGCTTTAAGTAGGAGGTTAGGGAGTTGGACTAAAAAACCTCCAGAGGTCTTTTCAAATGTAAATTACTCTAATCTTGGAATCACTGAAGTCTACTGCCTGAAATGTCCTGGAGCAGAGTACTGTCTTCATGCCTCAGTGTTCATGGTGATTTCGTGAATGAACTTGCCACCCCAGTTTTACAGAGACCTGCATCAGTGATGCTGTGGTCTTGATTCTTGCTCTTCAGTGGCTACTCATGCCCCTTCCTCTACTCCATTCTCCCTTGTGTTTCCTGGCTGGGCATTCCCACACAATCTAGTTTTGGAAATCTAGGCCTTTCTGTGCTGTTGGCTGACTGAAACTGTATTAGTTACATTTTGATTGATAGCCTTCTTTGCAGCTTTGATAGCTGAAGTTCCTTCCCTTGGGAGGACCTTAGTCCATAATGAAAAATAGCAGTCTCTAGGTGAAAGACTGGCATGCTAAATTGAAGACATCCCATGTTCCTGCCCATTTCCTCTATACTAGAGTAAGAAACCTTGTAGGAGAGATGTACAGTAACTTCAGTAGCTGTTTCTCAATTTTATTGCAGGTTTTGGAGAAGGTGGATGTAGAGCAGAAAATGAGCATTCGATTTCTTCACTGATGGATGGAGAACCTATTCCTTTCTACTCCGACTATGTAATGAATAGAACTTCATTTTATCCTTAGCACCATCCCCCAGAGCATTGCTACTGGTGCATATACAATACATCTCCAACCCCTCCCTGATTTGTTCTACCAATGTGAACATTCCCTGTGCATCAGGAACAAAGGGAAATGGCTGCTGTGCAACTTGGAAAAGGAGCTTTTTTTAATGTTTTCCTTCGTGGTTTTTTTACCCTTTCTCTTGTCTCTTTCTGCACTACTGTTTCAGTAAAAATGTCTCTCCTTTTGCACTGCTGTTTAATCTACAAACTGATTCTTCTGAGCTCTGAATCTGAAAACGGAAAAACGGGAACATGCCACAGAAGTGCCCTCTGAAACATTTCGGAGACAAGCATCTACTCAAATACTAGGTGCAGTAATGATCCACTTTTGCCATGTGACAGCTGCCTTTTTTTTTTTTTACCCTTTCCTGTTTGGCTCTTTACATACAGATTTGTTTCTTCACTGCTTCTAAATCTGCCTTTTACTTGAGGACTTCTCAATTTATATGGCTTCATTGTATAACTAGTACTGAATGCATGATGATAGGCTAGAGTACTTTAAGGTACTGTGAATAGACTTTATTGTTTGTGGAATTAATTCGTAGGGACAGTGGGAAAATCTGTGGTGGAGACAGGCTGTGGTGTTCCCAAAAGGAATAGGAATTCTGCACTAAGTCACTTAAACTGTTCCAGTAGCAGATGCAGAAACTTGTTTCTTTTTTTTGAGTAGCTTTCAGGCTTGACAGCCAGTGGCCCATGAAGTGTCCTCTACAGATTTCTTTCTTCTAGGATCCCTCCTTTCATAAGGGTGGTTTGGCTTCTGAAAGTGTAAAGTTGTTGACCAGTGTACATAATACAAGAAAACTAGACATGCCAAAATCTGGATTTGTAGTTCTGCCACTGCCCCCTGATAACAGTGTCATGAAACATGAAATCATGAAACTGATTTCATGGGTTTTTTTCCCAGTTAGAGTGGCATGGATAATCAGTATTTATGTTTTCCAGTATGAAAGTTCTAGTCTGTTAGATTTGTGTTGAGGATGGTAGATGTATTTAGGAAAAGTAGCATCAGAATACAATTTGGGGTAGTACATATTATCCCAAATATTTCAGAATGTATTTCTATGCAAATCTCTTTACAAGTGTAAGATGATTAATATAATTAATAGAATGCTGATAAATTCAAGAGATCTAAATTCTTGAAGGTTTAATACTAACAATTTTCTGTGGCTAGATTGACAAATGATCTCATGTAGTTTCATCTGGAACATTCCACAGTCTGGGAGGTCCTTCCAATAAAACCAAAAAAACCCTGGGAGCTTCTTTATTGAAGAATCTGTGTTATAACTGCTTCTCTGTTATGTGCTAACATTTCTATAAATACTTACCAGTCTCAAACTACTCTCAAATGTGCATTTCCTTTTTTCTCAGTTCCTTTAATCATTACTTTTGTTAAAGAATAACATGCAAGTCTCTGACAGATTTTTTGTTTGTTTTAAATTAAGGAATTCAAAAGTAAAATGTTGCACTTCATTCTTTTGCAGTGCAGCACAATTCCCAAAAGAAATGTAAATTAAAAACCTCTGCCTTGTATGCGAAAGAAACACTATAGTTTTATAACCATGTCATGTAAAATAGGAATGTAACAATGTTAATGGGTTGAAAAGTGCTTGTAGGCTTTGTGATTTGCTTAAATGTAGGTGTTGCTTTTTTCAGGCTCTATAGTGATAACCTACAGTTGTGCCTTATTGTCCTAGTGAGACTGGATATTGTATTTATCAGTCCATAATTAAACCTTCCACTGTATAAAAAAAACAAAAACAAAACAAAAACACACACTCAAAAAACCTGACCCCAACTATTCCTGTAACTGATTACCCTTTAATGACTAGAAAAATTAAATACCAGTAGAATGGTGCTAGCAGGCCTTACAGATCAGTTTCTTGTAACTGAGCTTGTTTTCAGAGTATTAATAGTTCTTTATTCTGCTGGCAAAGTGGAGGAAACCAGTGCAAAACATGAGCTCCAGAAGAGGACATGCACTTATAACCTGCACTATGGATCCTACAACAATATGAGCTTTACACCTCCCCGTGGTTCCAAATTAGACTTTTTGTTTGGGTTATTTTTTCCCTCCCCATAATTGTTGTAGTGTTGTTCTAATTAAAGGGTATATAATACCAATGCTTTTTCTGACATCTGTCTTTACAAGCCCCCACTTCAGATGTCAAGTATTTTTGCTAATGTGCTTGAGGTGAACACAAATGCTCTAACAGATTCACTGAAAAAAAAAAAAAACACAATCAAAGCAAAGACCAGCTAACCTTCCTGCAATAAACAAAAAGACACCCAACTATCAGAATCTAACTTTGCCATTAGCAGAATAAATCACATGTAAGCCACTATCTTACTTAACGTTCTGAAATCTGTATATTGAACGTGTAAGTTAAAAGGTTGTTGACAGTAAGAGGAGTTTTCCAGAGCTGAGTTCTTAAATTTGTTCACAACTAAGCTGTACAGATACAAGCAGATTTCCATGAAAGTAGTATTTTCAGCATAGTTGGTTGCTTGTAGAAATATATTCAGTCATCTTGAGAACAAAGGTCGTTTGTGAAGGTGAAAGTCTGGAAGAGGGATAAGATTAGCAGCTCAGAGGCAGAGTACTTAGTATTCCATCTTTGTCCTTTGGAAAAGCAGTATAAGGGATAGGAGTTTAAGTACAGATGAACGATTCTCCAGTCTGCTGGCAGATAGAAAGTCTATTTTCAATTCTGCAGACACGAGTTTGCCATGTTGAGAATCTCCGGACGGTTGATGCAGAAATCTATGGCTGAGAACAGTTACCAGGGTATTACGGAGACTGTGGAAAGCCAAAATAGGTTCAATGTCTCATCAATACTGAAAGGTGGCAAATGAGTTTGCTTAAATAGCTGTAGGCCCCTTTAGCTTGGCATCAAGTCTAGGCAAAGCAAAAGAATCCAAAATCAGGATTTGACTCATGAAGAACAGGACTGAAAATTATGTTAGTTTCCGTAACTTTACAATAGAAAATAAAAGCCTGCTTTTGATTCTTTGAAACTACAGCTTTGGTTGTAAGTAGCATGTGGGTATAACACTTAAGGTGGCAGAAGCATTTCATTTAGGCTGATGGTCTGCACTAAAATGTGACACGGGAGAACGGTGTGTGTTAAATGTTTAACGCACGTGTTAAGATTTCAAGCAAAATGGCTTGTAGTAATCTGTGATGAATCACGGTGAGACGGGGGTGTTTCTCGAGGGTTTTCTGAATGGGTACGTACTCCACTCTCTTCATTCACCCGTCAGCTTGAAGTGCAAAGCTACCGCTGCTAAAAAAAAAAAAAAAAAAAAAAAAACAAACACGGTTTTCGCAGGTGACGCAAACCCGGCAGAAAGATCAGAGGCCGCCCTTCGGGGCAGCCGCGATAGCTCTGTGAGCGCGGCGGGTACCGCAGGGTCACCCTGGGGGGTGACACGGAGCCACCGTACCCACCGCCCCCGCCCCCGCCCCCTGGCGGCCGCTTCGAGTGCCCGTCGAGGTCACCGCGGGACTCGCCCCGGGCCAGCCCCGCTCGCGCCGCTTCAGCCAATCCTAGGCCCTTGCCCTTCCCGGGGCCAATCAGAGAGGGAAGCTTTGGAGGCGGGAGGCCGGCCTCCATGATGGACGGCGCCGCTGGCCAATCGCCGCCAAAGCCGGACGGCTGATGCATGGGCGCGGCACCCAATAGGCTCGCGGCCGAGGGGGCGGGCCCCGGCGGCGCGAGCCCCCGCCGGGCGGCCGGGGAAGGAGGGGAAGATGGCGGAGTGAGGGGCGGAGGAGGCGGAGGGGCTGGGCCGCCCGCGGCCCCGCGGCCTCGGCCGCGCTCAGGTGAGTGCGGCGGGAGCAGCGGCCTGCCCGGCCCGGACCCTGGCGCCGGCTCCCTGATTGGGCTGGGGCCGGGCGCCCGCGCACCCGCCTCCCCGTCCCGCCCCGTGATGGGGCTGGGCCCGTGCTTGTTCAGCGGGCCGGGCCGAGCGGTGGGAGCGGCTGCCCGCCCTCGCCGCGCCGGCCCCGGGCGAGGAGCGGGACGGTATCTGGGTGGGCACCGACGTGGAACCGGGCCGGTCCGACCCGCCCGCCGGCTGAAAAGTCCGGGCAACTTCGGAGCCGGGGGCGAGGGTGTCCTGCAGGTCTGGCAGCAGATGGCCGGGCGGCAGAGCCTGTGCCCTGCACAGCCGTGCCCCGCAGCCCGGCTGGGAACAGCTGGCAGCAGTGTGGGGAAGGGAAAACGAAATGTATCATCCCAAATGAGCCTTTGCATCTGCGGCTGCAAACGTAGCGCTGCTTAGAGCTACTCCGCTGTTAGTCGTGCGGTCTGTGTGCTGGGTGGATTCCGCTGATCTGAACGGTCATATCCTTTTCTGATGTCTCTTGTGCTGACAGAGGAGCGCACAAAGGGGATGGTGTCCGAGTCGTTTGACAAAACCAGAACGTGCAAATAATCCACAGTGCAAAACAAGTTTTGTGGAAAGTGGAGAGATTACAATGGAATTTGTTTAGCCATATGAATTCATGTGATAATAAGGTGAAAAAGACTTAAGACGCGATGAAACCTGTGAAACTATTACTAAAACCACTATCTCTTCAGGTTAGTGCCATGCAGGTCAACGGTGCCCTGAATTGTTCAAAATTGTCCGTGGCATTTTGTGCTATAGGATGTACTTTGTTTAAATTAAAAAAAAAGAAAAAAAGAAAAAAAAAGAAAGGAAAAAGGAGGGGTAAGGACAAAACTTCTTACTGAAAGCAAAAGAATTAGCTCACTAGCGTGAGATTCCCCATGTTCCTTAGTTAAAGCAGTTCTTTAAATCTCTAGTTTGTCGTAGAATTGTGACTGCATTTTCAGTGTGCATGGGAGGTAAAGTAAAGAATTGGAGTGGTTACATGAGAACAACTGCTTTAGGTCTTGTGGAGACATGGTGTGTTAGCTTGTATGACCTAATAATGAAGTAGTTCTTTGTAAGTGGCGAAATAACAAAAGAAATACAAGCATGTTTGTTACAATTAGTTCTGAAAGCAGTAGCTACTTATGAGAAAAGTTTCCAAAGGAACATTTTACCAGTTTTCATGTACTGCATTACTCATGTAGTAACAGTAATAGCAGCTTAGGAGCAACATAACAGTAAGGCACAGTATGCTGTTACTGATGAATATTCCTACTTATACATGTCTGTGTATGAATTATTAAAGTATGTCAGGGGATTTGCCTTTGGCGTACTATATATAAAGATATGTATGGCTTTATATTACCATTAAAAGAATAATAACCAATCAGCTTGCTTTTGTGTGAAGTTGTATGCTATTTTAGCAGTGAGAAATAGATTTGGATTAATATTTATTTTAATTACTTTCAATGCACAAGAGCTCTGAGTAGTAGTATCTTAAAAAGAATAAAATTAGGGTTTTCTGTTACCCTGTTATATGTCAAATCAGCAATATGCACTGCTTTACAATCTTGCCCACAGTGCTGAGAGTCTGCAATGTGAAAATCTGCATGAACAGGCTCTGCACCTCACGGTCACCTGTCATTCAGGGGTGTCAAAAATTGTGGGCCAGTTAAGGCTAAAAAAACCTGACCCGAGTCTGTGAAGAGTGTGGAGTATCTTTTGCACGCCTCCCACGTTCTTTCTTAAAAACTAGAAAAGGAACGGTGTTTGAAACCAGACCTGATGTGCTGGAGGTTATGTGAGTGCAAGGTGCAAAGGCCTGTGCAGTCTTTGGAGTATTAAAAAAAGAAGATGATTTCTCTAAAATAGAATGTGAAGGAAGAGTTGTTTCTTTGCCTGAGCAGTATTCCAGGAGCACATTCCTATAATGTGTCATGGAATTGAAAGGAAATGCTGTTACAATGCTGTACCAACAATGTGGCAGATATCCATTGGAAACCTTGTGGAAGGTGGTTTCATTTAAAAGTACAGAGTGAAACAAATCTCAGGCAGAATGTTTTCAGTGCCTGAGACATCTCTACAGCTGCCAAGCGCCATAGCAGGGGTGTGTAAGCTGTGCATTCAACAGTCCGACAGTCCGTGTTGACAAGGGGCAGCAGCTGGCAGCTCCTTACTGTCTTCTGGCCTCTTCCTAGGCTGGCAGCCTTTCTAGGTTTCAGATATGCCTTTGTTTACCCTTTTGGAGATGATTTTGGTCTCTGACTCTGGATTATCAGTTTCTTTGTCTCCAAATCTGTGTGTCTTCTGAAATTGCTGGGGGATGTTCTGGGGTCTTGATGTCCTGCTAACTTTTGAGAGCCCAGTTCCTTTTGGTGCCTCCACACTCAGGCACTCTCTTTCTTTCTCCAGTCACATCAGCCTTAAGCTTTCTATCACAGTTGTTGCCCTTACCTCATAGACTGGATTTAGAAGCCATTTCAAAGTTATCCAGAAAGTAGAAAGAGCATGAAGGCATTTTTTTTTTTTTGCAGGACTGTGAGATACTTCTGTTGTATTTGTGTTTATGATTTAAACTTTTGTCATTGTCAAATTTCCAGGTAGTGCTAATTATTCTTTCTGTATCTCTATAGGTCTCCATCATACTTAATTTTCAAGTTTTTGTGTTTTGGTCTTTATATAAACCAATTTCTAGATTTTTTTCTTCCTTACACACTTCTCAGGCTGTAAAGAAGAGAAGAGAAATCGTCTTCTGTGTCCCTGTTAATTCTACTTATCTCCTGGAACATTTGTGTATGTGTAAGAGACAAAGGTAGTATTTTGGAAAGCCAGGTCTGATGGATCTGAGTTTTTGCTGAATAATGTAATTAAACCTAAGAGTACCTTAAAACAGAGTGTGAGGGATGGAGTGAAAGTTGGTTGTATAGATGCACACTATTATTTTAGTATAGTTTCCAATTCCAAAGCGCTGATTATGTCAGAACACTCACTTTTTTTTTTCCCCACACTTTTGCATTGGTAATAGAGTATTTTGATATATATTAAAAGACAAGTATTACAATTTTGCTGGTAAATTTATATTGAGATATTTCTTCATCTCTTTTTGGCTTTGAAATTCCTGAAGTTAGTCGCCGACATCCAAGAAGTTCTCTATCTGAATGTGAGATATAAAATTCATGGAGACTAACCTTTAGTTATGGTAGAGCAAAAAAATATGAATGGGCAGTAGGTGAAAACTTAATAAAAATAATATTTTCTAAAAATTTTAACAGAAAAGGATTAATGTAGGTAATGTTAAGTTTTTACATTTATTTCTTGTTCCATATAGATTGATTGTGCATTCAGTAAGATTTTTCAACAAGAAAAATAGTATTTTTTTAATTTGTGATGTCCAGTAGCTTTTATTTGAAGATTTGATATTGTCGCCATCAGTTTCAGTGCCTGCTAATGGTCAATAACCTTGCTTTATATCCAGTTGCATCTGCACGTTCTCTTGGTACTACTGTGAAATCAGCTCTCATGTGGTAATCTATGAAAGTCAGCTAGAAAGTACAGCGAGAAGGGTAGGTAAAAACTGGGGCATTCAAAGTTCATGAAGTTGTAAAAATAAAATTTAAAAAAATAGGTTAAAGCCAATGAATTTCAGTGTTGGATGTACCATTCCTTTGCATGAGAAGTGTCACCTGCTGCTTTTTTTTAAATAAGATTTACTTTAATTTAGTTGATTTATAGTTTTAGAATAAGTGGAAGAAAATCCAACTTTTCAAAGATTGCATTGGTTTCTATTATGACAAGGAAATTTGGGAGAGCTCTTGAGCTTCTTCTCAAATTAATTCTTTTGTGAATCATTTGCTGTTGGTTCCTCAATCTCTCAAACTCACATAGTGCTTGAGGGAGGATTTGAGTAGGAAGAGTCAGCATTGACAACATGAGAATAACTACGCTAAAATGGGGATTTTCTGATGAGTGTGGTTTTTTTGAAGGTGCAGGTGTCTGGTGCTTGCAGAAATGCTGTGTTACGCAGGAGTGTGAAAGCTAGTAATACTTAACTGAGGATACAGGGAATTTTTAATAATGTATGTCTGTGTGATGAGATAGTTCTGCTTGTGGCAATCCATTGTTCCTTCAGTTAGGTTGTCATCTGTGTCCTTGAGAGCAGTCATTACGCTTCCTTGCTACAGTGATTTGTTATTAACATGAAAAAGCTTCTTGCTTTACTGGAGACTAAATTGCGTCCATCTCAATTCCTTTGAAACTGAAATGTGTGTCTGTTGATGATACCTTACCATAACAAGATTTATCTTCAAAATATGCACAATTAAAAAGTTGTTCTGGTCATGGTGTGTACTTAATGCTCCAGGTATACTTGGTTAAGCATGGGCTGTAGGCTATTCTCAGTAAAGTAGGAATCAACAAATTCCAGGGAAAAAGGGAATTCTGTGGCGAGAAAACTACAAGAAATGAACGGCACACATGATTTTACTCCAGAAAGCAGAATGGTCTCTGAACAAAACCCTTTCAGGCATGTTTTGGATATATGCTTCTCCTCCCCAGTCTATTCTTAGTTAAAGTTTGCCTGTCCTTGGTCTTCCGTACTTGGGCCCAGTTCTCTTGACTTAAACTAAAGGAGGGGGGTGGATATGGTAATTTGAAAATTAACATCAGCATATTTTATGTAGAAAGTCTAAAATTGTTAACTCGTTTGTGGAAGATACAGGTAATCTTTTGTGTCTTGTGCAGATAATCATCTATGATCTCAATAGCTTCCTAAATGCAAATTTAATTTCATTTATTCATCTCTTTCTCTCTAAGCTCCCAGAAGAGATTGTGGATTGATTAAAAATAATGGTGAGTACAATTGTAAGGTCGTTTAGGTAGAAAATATAATGCACTAAACTTGTCAAGTTTGTTGGTTGATTCAGTTTCCTTTTCCCTGTGCAAAGAAATACGTCACTGAGATTTTAGTATTTTGTAGTATACTTTCTGAGAACTGGAATGTTTCCACAGTGTCAGCTTTCAGCTTGGCCTTTGTGTGCAAGAAGCATTGATTTAACTATTATATATTCTAATAAGAATAAATACTTTTAAAATTATAAAATTCCTGTCCTGTGATGTCATTTGCTAAGAAACACTAATTGTGTCATGGTATTAACTTGGAGTAGTTATCTTAAAAGTTTTATTTGTTAAACAGTAAGATTGGAAGAATGATAACATAATCAGATGTAAATTATCAAATAGAAAAAAGTACATGCAAAATGTCTAAGCATGACAGTAAACTTCTGGAGCTTCGACTTATTTTTTTTCCCAGTGAATCAAATTAAGATATTTTGGTATTTAAGGTGTATAAGAGAGTTCTATATTCTATTCTCAGCTCTGCTATGAACCTTTGGCATGTTTTGTTGCAGCTTTCCAGATCTGTTTTTCCACATCTTCATAACAAGAATAAGACTTTCCCAACAGTGTGAGCATGGATGGTCAACAAAATGATCAACAGAAGTATTTGAGTGCCTCAGAGAGAAAGAGATGGTGACATGTACTGTATTTCCATTTTCATGATCTTCTTGCTGCTTCTAACGTAGGAGCTGAAAATTGTCAGTGGAAGACTTTCTGAACTCGATCAACCACATGGTTAAGGTAATTAGAATAACATAAGTACAGACAAGGAAAGGAGAGGAAAAGGTTAGTTATCCTCATGTTCTTGTATGTGAGAAAAAGAAACCAAAGAAAAATATTCTATTTCACATCTCTCCTTTTAGTACAGGAGAATGATAATAAATGTTTCTGGCACTATCTGTGCAGGAGTGCACCCATGTTACCTTCCAACTTAAAACAAAAAAAATCACGTCTTAAGAGCTGCTGTGACTAGGTGATATCAGGTGAGTGTCACTGATGAAAGGCCAGGACATCAGTGACAAGTTACTGAAGTTTGTGCTGTGGATAAGTGGGGAGAAATGAGTAAAAGTAAGTACTTAATGTGTATGATCTTAAAATTGTCATAAATGCTTTTTTCCTCTACAGCATTGACAGTTTCAGTACTAGTTAGGTGATAGTTCAGGATGTGTCTTTGAACTGTGACTTGCTAGCGCAGAATATGCTATGTCTCTCTCTGCAGTGTGCATTCTGGTGCTTCCTCAACGTAGTCATGCTGTATGTTGGAGACACAGTTAAGAAGCCCCACAGCTAATTAACAGTGGTATATTTTTGGATGCATTGCTTCTCAGTAAGTGTACAGTTCACCACTTCTGAAGTATTTCCTTAGCCAGCTTGTGGACATTTACAGTTAGATATTAAGTCTTAGAGAGCGAGGGATTAATGCAGTTTGTGAAGCCAGCTAATTTTGTCAGGCTTTTCAAGTAATGAACTGATGGGCATTTTAATGTTGAATATATTTTATTCTGATTCCTAAACTACCTTTCCTGGTTTTTTAATTTGTATTCCAGATCCTATCCTGACATTCAAGAAGGTGGTCCTGTTACCTGCTCATAGACTGCGAGATGTGGATGTTTCTCTTCTAGCAAGCAAAAACCTGTCCTTCACTTCCATGGAGCTGAATGAACAAAGATCTGTCCAGTTTCAGTCATGTCACCAAACATTTGGTTCACCAGATGGCTTCTCCTACAGAAGTACCCCCACTGTTTTATCAAAATTCAAAAGCAGAGTAACAGAAATCAGCATTTGGTTTCCTGAAGAAGTGTCTTCTGTGCCAGCACTTCAAACAGCTTTCTCCATTCTGTTTTAAAATGAGAAATGCTTTGTAATCAGATGCAAGTGGAAGCTGGTGTTCTTCACTGATATTTCCTTCTTCATTTTAGGAAGGTTAGGTACTTTGCTGTGTCATACTGGATTTCCTAGCAGATAAAGTGTCTGCATGCATTACTGTGTCAGACTGACTTGACATATATGAAAAGTTGCAGCAGGAAAAATTGCTCTGGCGTGAGGAGGAAACTTACCAAACAACCGGGGACATCCCATACAGGTATTTTCTAGTCCAGGACCCAGGCTTGACTTTGTAGATAGATGTCAAATCACATAAAGCAGCTAATGCAAGAACAAGAACAAATGCAGAATCACCTTGTCTGTAGTGTGTAAATGCATTATCCCAGTCTGTGATCAAAATGTATATTTGCATGTGTAAACCTATATAAGTGCTGGATATGAAGAGGTTTCAACAGAAGGAGAAATCACCCTGCACCATTTAACTTTTAGCAAAGAAAAATGAAGCTTTAAAGCCTTGAGGGTAACAGGATAATGATTAGCTTTACGTTAAATCATTCCCTCCCTCTGGCTTTTTATGAATTCTTAGCAGCAAAAGGAACAAAACCATTCTACTGTAGAAAAAATAGGGCAGAACATGTTTCTTTATTATAGAAATTAACTTCAGGTGAGATGAAGGAGACCACAAGTGTAAAGTTGCGATTTATCCACCTGGCTTCCTTGACACAGTTTCAGCTTTTCATACTGCTGATGGAATCAGCTTTCTTATTCTTTCATGACTGAAAACTGAGAGGACCTGTAGATTTTCATTATCTAGGCAGAAATAGGCTGAAGAGAATGGAATGTTAGCCATGTAAGGGGGTAAGTTGAGGTACAGCAAAAATACTTAGGATGGGCCTTTTTCTGTCTCTTCTACTTCCTTCCCAAACTAAGGCACAATCTGTTGTTCTTATGTTTACACGAGATTCTTTGTCTACATCATTTGTGCTTATATAGGATGTTTTCTGTCATTTTGAGATGGGAGCATATATTGTTTACATGCTCCCTGCTATGGTATTGTTTATGGCAAGTAAGATTTCTTGGCAAAAAAACACCAGACCTGGGATGTGTATTGTATTCGACTTCAAATCTGAAGCTGTTCTTAGTGCACCTTATTCCAAGCTTGTGATTTAGAAAATGTGACTTCCTAGCTTAAAATAATGTTCTCAAATCTGGATAATATAAGGGTATATAGCTTCTATTAATATGTTTTGGAGATACTACAATGGTTGAGGAGATGTTCCAGATTTCTTGTTTTGTTCTGTTTTGCCTTTTAGAAAACTGCTGGAGAGAGCCAAACAGCCTGAAAATGGCTGAAAAAGCAAACAATGGAAATCCTTCTTAAATCTTATTGACAGCTTGCAAGGGCAGCATTCTAATATTTAAAATGTGGTGATATTTTATGGGACCAAGTTCCATAGCAGAGTGAGGACAAGTGTTGATGTTGATCCTGATCTTCAGAGTAATGTCTGTGTTTAGACATGCCTTGTAACAATAAGATTTAGTGACAGCTTTACCCATTTTTTGTTTCCATGAAGAAAAGAGCAGATGTGTTAGCTAAAGGGTGGGGGGGCAAGACACCGTGTCTCAAAATAATGCCAACTACAATGAGCAGACAGGTGCACTGAAATTGTGTCCAACATTGTGGTGAGCTCTGTGATAAGAGTTAACATTGATCTTGAGGCAACCATCAGCTTGATCTGACTTCTTTTAAGAGCATAGGATTTCTTTGCTGAATATGGTCTGAATTTTCTGGCATTGGAGGCAACTAGAAAAGCACACTTCCTTTTAGGGCGTCCTTATGTTGAAGCCAATAAGATTTAATGTAGATGTCTGTAGAAGCAGGATCCATCTCTAAGTGATGGAAAATACTGTCAATATCATAGGATTATAAATGATTGGAAAGTATCTGGTATAAGAAATGTCTCATTTTAGATCTGGGAATTTTCTTTTTTCCTACTGCCCATACTTACCCTTCTGCTATTAGAGCTAGCAGTTGTTTCTTGCATAGCTTGACGACAAAATACTGGGGGAACAGGAAGGTATTTTTGTTTTCTGTGGACATGTACAGAAATTGCAAATTTGTCTGCCTCCAGAGTAGACACTTCAAGCTCTTTAATTTCTTTTTCTTTAGGAATAACCCTCAATATTTTGTAACCCACATTGTAACAAAAAAAAAAAAAAAATTGCTGATTTTTCCAGAATCTTATTGGTGACAATGTATCAGCATTAGTTTTCAAGTTTAATTTTAAAACATCAAGATTTATTAGGCTAATGATCTGTGGCTTTCACAGAAGTAATATTCCAATAGTGCATGTCCAGAAGACCCCAATTGCTGTACCTTCCTGGCCAGCACTTAAAACTGCTGTGTTAGGAAATGCTGCTTCAGCCTACTTACTTTTTCTTGCTCCACTTTTTCTCTGTGTTGGTTGGAAATCTTCCCATGTGAAAGATTACAAAAACAAGGGGCACGTGCAATAGATCATATATATATATATACATATATATATTTTAATACTTGTGGACAAAATGATGTTACAAGTTGTTTGAAAACAACAAAATCACCAATGTCTTCCATTTTGAGATGTGTATAGTTCCATAAGCATTAGTGCTTTGTAGCAAACTGTAGTGCCATGTTAGGATCAATGCATGAGCCTAGTAGTATTTTTACAATTTCAGAGTGACAAATTTATTAGTAAACAGTGATGATAATGTAATTAACACTAGAAAGGATACAATAGAAATGTCACAAACATGGTCTAAACATGCAGTATCCTCCCTTTGACAATGGCAATGCTATCCTTAAAACTGGAATGCGTTAACTTAATGGGCTTCATAGAATCATAGTTGACTTTTTGTTATTTGTCTGTCTGTCCAACTGCAATAGTAAGCTAGAGTATGCAAGCGTCCATCTCTATCGGTGGGATTCTTTTTAGTCTTTGTTGGTGTTTTCTTCCATGTGCAGCATTTTCAATTTTATTATTAGCCATCCCATTATATACTCAGAAAAGTATGAATATGCTAAGGAGTTTGTGTGCATTCTGTACACATCTCTGTTACCTTCGGATCATTGACAAAACATGTGGATTAAGTAATTTTTTTTTCAGACTGACTATATGATTATTATAGCTAGTGAAACATTATCCTCATTATGTGATAAGTTAATAGTTGCAAAATGCAATGTAGAAGACTTTTATCCATTATTGCAGGAATGGGGAACCTTTTTTGGCTGAAGTCCTATTGAATTTTACAATAACTTTGGTGGATCCTGCATTTACATACATCTTAGTGTTAATAATAAGAAGAAAGAATATAGTAAGGTCAAAGGCTGTTGAAAAATGATGTTGCAGACTGTATCTGTGCAGCAGGCTATCTCTAGCCAGTGGATCAGAGATTCCCCACCCCTGTATTGTTGAGAATTCACTATCCTGTATTTTAGGTAACTTCCAGTTTTGCTTTCCAGCTCTTGAGCTCAATTTTAATAATTTCTGTTTCTCCCTCTGCTTTTCTCAGAAGGAAGGTTTAGACCAGGGAAGTCAAAATGACTCAATGTGCAGCTTGGACTGGTCAAATAGAGGACTGGCATTATTCTTGAGATGTGCAATGCTCTGTGAATGGCATCCTGTGATTTCCTAGGAATAAGTCTTTTATTTAGTGCCAGTGTTACTTTTCACCCATTTTCTCTCTTTTACAAGAACAAAATTCTCTTTCAATTTAGAGAGGATACTGCATCTTTTTTTCCTGAGACCTGCCTGTAAATGGCCATTAGGGGGAGGGAGGGAATGGGTACTTGGTTTTGTAATGTTGGTGCAATGTCTCTAAAGTAATTAATCAAGAAGCATATACTTCTGTGCAATGGCAGTAATCCATGCAGAGTTGATGTATGTAACAGGGAAAAAAACCCCCAGCAAAACCAAACTGACAAGCCTCTGCATCTAACATATTTCCAAGAAAATTGGACAGATGGGCCATTTACAGCAGAGCTCTGGGGGACCTGTGCTGAAAGTCAGGTTCAATTCTAAATGGAAGTAGCTGTACCATTGAATAAAGTAGTTAGTTTTAGTGCTTGGGAGAATCAATTGAAAAATACCTCTGAAACTGGAATGCAAAATAGCACAGTATGTAGGGGGAAGAATCCCTGATGCAAACAAAGCCATAAGATGATTTAATAAGAAAATAGAACTTTAGTAGCAATAACTGTTTTGCATGTGATAGTGAATAACTTGCAAATTAGCAAGACTGTACAGTAGAGTAAGTGGGTAATAACCAAATAAGTTTGTGGCGCTCTGTGCTGCAGGGAGTTGTGTGAAGAGTCTTCCTGAGAAGAAGGGTGAATTCTTCTTATGTTCCTCTCATTGGAGGGAATTTGGCACTTGAATACAAAGTTAATGAATTTGATACATATATATAAAAAAGAAAAATTAGCTTTGTCACATCTGAAGCACTGTCAATGAGTGCTAGGGGAAGGGCAGACAGTTCTTTTTGAAAGGATAGCTGAAGTTTCCCTGGAATTTTTTTTTCTTTTTAGTAGTCTAGCACTTGCTCTGTTTCTCTGAGAAGAAACTAAACCTTTCTGCGTGTGTTTTTTTTTTTTTTTTTTTTTTTTTTTTTTTTTTTTTTTTTTTTTTTTTTTTTTTTTTTTTTTTTTTTTTATTTGTTTGTGATTTTTTTTGGTTTGTTTAAAAAGACCAATCTGAGATGGTCTTTAAATAAATAAAAAACAAACTAAAAAAATTAGAGAGCACTTGACACTCAAAATGTTTGTACATGCCAGGCACAACTGTAGAATTCTAAAAATGTTACTTTACAGCAAGAAATAATTTTAACCTTGCTAAACACTGTTTCAGACCATGGTTGATTTCTGTCAATGCCTGAAGTTTTGCAGGGGCAAGTACTGTGAAGCCTCTGGTAACACAAAGGGTTATTGATCTCCAGCTGTAGCCTCTGCACCCAGCTAAGTATTTGCTGTCAAAGGGTTACATAAAAGAGCCCCAGGAATTCTAAAGCGTTCCTAGTTGACGCTGTTTTCGGTCTATAGAGACAATATGGCCCAACAGATAATAATGTATTCTGAACAGAATTATTTCACCAGAGGCTTAGATCTATCTGGCTGGATTTCTTCTGGAAAGCTAAAGTAATTTAGGCTGTGACTTACAGCTGAATGGAAGCTTGTGGTTTTGAAAGCACGGAGGTGAAGTAGTTTGGCTCCTCAGAAATTGATAATGGAACTGTGACAGCTGTGAGCATTTTTAGTGTATAAAGTAACAAGCATGAGAATGTCTAAATTAAGTGTTGGCTAGTATGTAATATGCATATGAAAAGCTAACTGATCTGGAAGGCTGTAATCAGTATAAATTCCAGCTATTGAATTATTGATAAAATTGGAAGCTGGCCAAAGGGGACCTTAATTTGATTGTTATCTGATTACGTTAGAGAAATTATAAATTTATTCTGGTCTGTGGTCAGCAAGTACATTTACATAAAGTGAAATAATGAAAACACAGTCACGTTGATACTTCAGAATTACGAACTTTGTGGTGGAACAGAATTCTTTAAGGCTGTATCCGTTCAGAGAGGGGGAGAGGAAATCAAGACTGATGTAGCTAGGCAAGCTATCTGCATATTCTTCCCAGTTCAGGCTTTTTATAATGATCTGTATTCTATGTGCTACTTGACTAGAAATTACTATTCACAGCAAGAAAAGGAATCCCTTTGCCTTTCAGCTCTTGTACAGTGGCATGACTTTTCCTTCAACCTCCTTGATTTACCTGCTTCCAAACCTGAGTGGAAGTGTTAGATGCTATTACACTTTGGTGTGGGATATCAAAGGTGTAGTGACTGGTATGGACGTGCCTCCTTTAGCAGTACCAAACCCAGATGACACAAGTATATGCTGTTTGCATATCCAGTAGTGCTGCTGCAGAGGGTCCAGCCAGTATGTGTGCAGGGAACTGCACTTTCAAGGATTGCACCTTTTGCAACTGAGGGTAATTGTCAAATTTAGGACAAAAAGAAAGTCTTGCAAAGACTTCTTGATAGTGAGTGAGAAGAAATTGTACTGAGCTTGAGGTCACTGACACTTGGATTACATTTTCAAGAGTTGGCAGCCTGCTTTTTTGGGCAGAAAAGGGAAAAATATTCAAGATAAGAACAGTTCTTGATTGATAACCAATCTTAGAAATTACTGCATAGGAAACTGTCATCCTTAGGAAACTGTCTGGTCTTCCTCCAAAACTAATAATTGTGCTTGTTGTTCAGGTACAAAGCTGCATAATGGCAGTCCGAGTTAGATTCCACTGGATTTCTTTTATGGAACGATCCAGCATTTTGCCCCGTAGCATTTTGACTGGCACACAAAAGCCAGCAGTTGAACCAGGGTGTCTCGTTTAACAGTGCAGAACACTAACCATGGATTCTGATGTCTGTTCCCTTTCAGTCTGCTCTTCACCTTCTCCTGAAATTTAGAGAAGGTGTCAGTGTTCATGATGTCAGCAGAGTGTGTTTCTGTCTCTGAGCCTACGTACCAGGTTATAATATAGACAGATTGCCAAGACTTTACACCACCTAAAGATAAAAGGTAACTTACTGTTCAGTGTGTCCTATGTAAATCCTGTCTGCTTCTCTCCATTTCCCCTCCAAATGAGTGTGTTTGCAGGTCAAATAAAAGGAGGCTAGTTTGCAATGCCTTAGGCATGAAGAACTGCATGGAGAAACTGAAGGAAAGCGGCACAGGCCCACAAACCAAACCTTAGAGCTAGTATTCTAATTATGCATGATTCAAAATGTCTAGTGTAATGTAGTTATTACCAGTAAATTGAGATATGCATTTATACATAACGAAGCAATAGGAATTAATATACCAATAGCTTGAACTTCCTGCTTTGATTCTCAAATTTTGGGTTTTTTTAGAGAATGTGCTGCCTCTGTAGAGAAAGGGGCAGAATGTATAGATAGGGACAGAAGCATGGCACCAAAACTGTAAATCAGGAACTAGGATCAGCAGAACTCGCCTTTATAACCTCTTGTCTGGTTCATATTAGTGTCCTGAGCATGTAAAAAGCAGGGCATGAACTAAGCATGTTTAGGGGCGAGATGAGGTTTCTCACCTGCTGCAGCTGTAGCAAGGAAAAGGGTGCAGAGTTTCTTACAAGGTGCAGGGAGGAGCAACTGGTGGGAAAGAAGAAAAACAAAGCCACAAAACAACACAAAAAACCCCACCAATAAAAGGACAACAAACCTCCAAACCAACAAACAAGTAACAGAAACCACAGACTCAAATTGAGTGTAGTATTTGCCAGACAGTAGGTAATGAGCTTGGATGTGATGACAGAAATTATTTGGAGAAGACTGAAATTAATAAGCACAGTACATATTTTTCAGGTGTTGAATAGCTTTTTAATAGACAGTACTTTCAGGTAACTCTAGCCACATAGGCAGCTGTACTGAAGCATACTGGTACCAGCCAGCAATAATGGCACCTGCAGGAATGAACCTGAAAATACTGGTAATCTTGTATATTTTTTAAGTTCTTTAAAGAGATTTTTAAAAACTGAAAATGAAGTTTGATCACTGAAGGTCTTTATCTTCTGCAACCTAGGTTGCAATTGTCTTTTTTCTTTATTTCACTTATTAAATAAAAGGGAATTTGGGTGCCATCTTTCTGTAAACTTTTAGTGTGTTCTATGTAATATTTTGCAAATCTTAGTGGATAATGCAGTCAATTCTGCTGGCAGTTTGAAATAAGAGAATGTGTGGCATAACCTACATCACTAATATTTTTCCAAGTTTAAACTTGTAATTAAACATGTAGAATACTAGCTTGTTACTGCAGAATTCCATACTTCTAGCTTAGCTTAATTTTGTAAGTGGGCTTAACTTGTGCAGAACACTTCTCCATGTACAGAGGCTCAGTCCTCTTTCTTAAATAGAAAGAAGTGTCTTGGTGAAAGAAATTGTGTGTCAAGTTAACTCCTATTCATACTTCATAGCCAACCCTTCATGAAGCACCGTGATTTGGATTTAAAACAGGGGTTGCGTTTTTCTCATAAATACTCTTTCTAGATAGGTAAGAATTGCCAAACGAAGATAGGACTAATATGAGAGAAGATAACTATTTTTTGGTATTAGAAATTAGACTAAATGAAATCCTTTGAGCCAACTTCTTCAAGCAACAAGTAAATTTGTAAGACAAATTTAGCTCAGTGGTTAACCATGGTCATTCTTGTCTTTAGAACGCTATGCATGGTTTTAAACAGTCTTTTTTTTTTGTTTTGTGATGAGTAAGCCATTGTATCCTTTGTATTTCCCTTCAGTATAACCTGAGGAAAAGGTTACTTTAAGATGTTAGTGAAGTTATCCTCCTTTTGGAAAGCATAACAGCAAAGGAGAAGAATTGAGTATAAATTCTTTAAAATTACCTTAGTACTTAAAACAAGCTAGAAAATACTTAGACTGAACTTCTGATGGCATTCTTACATGGATTAGTGGAGGAAATTATTGGTGTAACTAGGAACTGTGTACTCCCATTGCACATGTTTTACATGGTAACAGAGAAAGAATGTCTCCCTGCAAATTCTGATGTTTTTCCAAAAGGCAGCTTGCTTTTATATCTATGCATCTTTAAGGATTTCAAGATAAGAATTTATTCTTTTGACACTGTAAAGAGGAACTGTTTAAAAATGAACTTGGAAACTCTGCACCTGTAAACAAATTTTTTTAGCAATAAAGCAGCACAGGCTGAGAATGCACTAATACTGGATGTGTCATCTGTTCAGAAGACAAATTAACTGACTTACTACACTCCACTTCTGAGGTGTTTGTACTTGCTGTATCTTTGTCAAAACTTAAAAATTTGAGCTGAACCGATATATGCTGAATATCTGCTTTAGGGCCAGCTGTACCAACAGATTTCAAGCAAGAGAGCCTCTGACCTGGAAGGCAACTAAACAAAAATTGTTATTATTCCACTCATAAGATGAGTAACTTACCAGTTAAAAGCTTCAAGGGTTGTTTTAGAGGGTAGCAGAACCCTGTGTTGCCTGTAGAGATGGCATAAAAGTAATAAGCCCCTCAGGTAGCTCTTTTATATACATGGATTGTTTATTGTTTTGATAACTACGTCTGAAAAATTTCTTCCGTGGTTGGCTTGTCACAACCTGCAGGGAGGCACAACTTTCCTTGCAGTTGCTGCTGCAAGCAGTTTTGGGAACTGCTGTAATGCAGCAGTAGGACACCACCTCGTCAGGACTACCAGAGAAGTGTTCCAACTCTGCCACAAGTGTTCCAAAATCTGTAAAGGATTGCTGACCCTTCTGCTACCTTTTGGAAGATTCGCAGTATGATTGATACTTCAATAGCCTGTTGAACCACTGTTTCATTTTCTATTGGGTTTTTTCTGTGTATGCCAGAGAAGACAGCTGCTGATTAGCTAACAGAAGAAGGCCTGAGCTTGAGACTTGCTTTCTAGGTGGTTGTTATTTATTTAAACAGAGAATCCATCCTTTGCAAGCCAGTGGCCCTGGCTGCACTGAAGGCTAGAACACATCTCAAGGTGCCTCGGTACAGGAGATAAGACTCGACTCCAGAATAACAACAACATTTATTCACTAGTCAATTTCAGATTAAAAGGAATTTGAATCTGGGACAGGCTGTGGGATCAAATGCTGAGTCTTTCAGGAATAAGTTTATAAGCATCACTTAAATCAAAATGCATCCATAGGTTTAATTTGGTATCTCAGTAAATGTCCATCTCAAATTACTGAAGATAATGTATTTATTTTATGCAGCTTGCATCTTAAAAAGGAATTTACTCAGAGGTTCTCTCAGTTAAAAAGATTACAGAAATGTAGTTTAAAAAATTAACAGCTATTATTTGGCACATATTCATTATTTGTTTAAATTCATGCTAAGTAATATAATTTGAGGAACCATTCATTAAATGCTTCATAACAACCCAGGACCCAACCAAGACAAACTGATGTTTTTTTTCCTGCAATCATAATCAAAGGAAAAGAAGTAGGCCTCTGACTCACATGATATTGGCAATGATTTGCACAATATGAATTTCTGAATGTCAGGGGGGTTTTTATTTAAACAGTTTCTTTTTCACAACTGTAAATATAATATAAAAATGTAACTGACAGCTTTCTTTCCCTTTTAGGGATTGACACTTAGCCAGATGAAGCAAAGCTATTTAGCACAATTATACACAGTATATACAGACATAAAGTATATAGCAAGAAAGAGTCTCAATGCAGAAACTGAAATGAAAGGGCAAAAGCAGGTAGTCTCATTATTAATCACGTTTCTTACACTAAGGCAACAACAGAAGTGCTGTCACTCAGGAAGTACCACAAAGGTGAAGTCATACAGTGGAAAACATTTACCTGAGGTGGAAAGGTGTTTGCACATAGCATCACTGGAATTAAGCTGATCAAGTAAATAGAATCCTCTCTAGACTACTACAGACAACTACTAAACTTCCCATAAAATGTATCATCCCCTTAGGGAAAAATATTAGCCCTTTAGGCAGCAAAAAGGATAGGAAAAGGACCCTTAACCTTCCCAACAAACAAGAAAGATACTCTGTCCCAGAAACAAAGGGTAAGTAGTGCTCCTTCTTTTCATCAAATTATTTTCCAATGTTTGGAAATAAGCAGAACCCATTCAAAATAGAGAGAAATGCCAGTTAGGTGATTTTTTATTAAATATCTCGACTGGCCAATTGAAGGCAGCAAGCAGATCATCACAACTTCAGCAGAGCAGTTCCCATGACTGAGCAGAAGGGAAGGAGAAGAAAAGACTGTTCTGTGGTTTCACGGTTTCAGCCCCAGAAAGAAATGCTCAAATCTGTTAAAGGTGGTTGCTCACAGCCTAAATGGATGTATTTGATTCGCTCCTGTGCAGTCATGGAGCTGCATTTCCAGAGGACTTGGCAGGTGCACAGGTTGCCCTTTAACTGAAATCCAAAACCTTGTGCTCCAGCCTGCATTGTGCCATCCAGATTCACGCAATAAGACCAGTGTGCAGCATCTGTGACATGCTAGCCTGCCCTTTTTGCAGGCCACACACAGAGGCAAATCTAAAAGACCTATCCAGGAGTCCATTTAGCTGTGCGTTGCATATGAAACATCCAGGCTGCCATTAACACTGTATCTATATGAAAAGGTAGGACAAGAACTTTACACCTCTAAGAATGTTCAATTTACAATAGCTCCTCTTGAATACCACCTTATTAGTGTCTTTGTAAAGCTCCAGAAACCTGACATCAGTATTTCAAAGGCTGGTTTTCCCCCAAGAGAAAAAAAAAACGAAGTCACAGTTATACTGCCTCAGAGACTGATGTGCTGCATAGGTGAGCTATTCAGTCTTCCAAGCATAACTTCAATATGTCGGGTTTTTAGGTGTTCCCCTGAAGGGATGCACTTAATCATCAGTTCTTTCCATGCACAGATAAAGTGACAGATCAACAGTCAAACCTGATCTGGTGCATTATTTCACCACAATGAACAAACTCTGCAGAGATGCAGAAACAAGTCCAGCAGTTTTTGAAAATGGCTACTAGTTGATCCTAACTCCTGCATATCCTGGTGGCAGGCCATCTGTATCTGATGCAGAGCTCTGCCACTGTGTTACATAATTACTTTGTTCAAGTTCCTTCAGCTTGTTCGTCAGCATTTCCATGCGAATGTGGAACTCCACAAGCTTTTCTTTCAGCTAGAAAAAAAGAGAAATAAGAGTATTAAAACTAGTGAAAAATGTCCTAACGCTGGATCTTTGAATGATCTGCATCGCACTTTCAGTGGCTCAAGAGCAGCTCACTTTTAAGATGGAAAAATAGTGGGGCTTGAATCTTTGTACTGCATGTCTAGTACAGACAAAACCAGCACCCAATCAGAGGTCTGCACTACAAACTGGAGATGGATGAATGCGTGCCAGCATCAGCCCTTCCAGAATTGTAGGGAAATACTCTATTTAAGGCGATGGAGTTGCTGGAGTTTTACTATGATGAACCTGATCTTACCTGGTTAACTCATTACAAGTTTTCACACAACTGGAGACCTTCTTTGACAGTATCTGGACAAACTTTCATCATTAGTTTAGGAATACATGTGGACACGTTATTTCTCAAAAAGCAAAGGCCAGATTTTTGAGCTTGTTCTAGTCAACAAGCAAACTCTACAGTCACATAATTTGTGTTTGCAATGAAGTACTATAATTTTTTTTTTACTTCAGAAAACTGCGTCTCAACTTTACAAGTCTTGCCTGGATGAGATTTTTGCATTTTAGTCTCACTTGACCTGCAAAAACCCCTGTCATCTTATGGACACTGGAAGATGACTTTAAAGAGGACAAAGGAAATGTCACAGGCCCATTAGAAGAGAAACTAGAGAACTAAACTCAAAAAAAAAAAAAGTAAGGAATAAGTAAACACATAAACTGGGTATGCTGGCTGTCTCCAACACATCATATGGGACAGACAATTTACTAAGATAAGAACTAACCAGGTTACAGACAAGAACATGCAATTTAAACACCAAAGAAGGAGGGAGGTCCTAGTGCTGTCTCTGAAGCTACAAATACTGCCATGCTGTTTTGAGCTTACATAGACGTAAATAAAACTGTGCAAGAATCTCTTTCAAATTAACAAATTACTATTTTTTAATTCTTCAACAGTGACAACACAAGTAGTAATACTTAGGCAAAGTCTGTATAAATGATTCTTGGGTTTTTTCTTTTCATGGTATGGAGGTAAAAGGATAAAAAACTTTTGACAGAAATTTAGCTACAACTGGATATGTTTTGCAGGTTAGGGGTCTTAGAAAATGTTCCGTATGTGTCACACATTGAATCAGTCACTGTAATATAAGTCAGCATTTTCTCAGTCTTACGCACTTAGAAAACCAGTAATTGTATCCGTACTTAGGAACTAATATCCCAAACTATCAGCGGTTTAAAACTATTTTCCATTAATGTAGAGATTAATATAGAAACCTTACTTCCTGCACTTCTTTCTTTAAGGTCACAGCAGGAAAATCCACCTTAGAAGCTTCTATAACCATTTGGTTTTCTAAGAGATAACTGGAAAACAAAAGAGGATAGGGAAAAAAGCCACAAGAAGAACAGTTAAAAGCCGCGCAGTTGCATTCATTGTTTAGACAGATTATTTAAACTATTTTAAAGCATATACAAATTTGTCGCCAAAAGTAATTGATAATTAGGAAAATATGAAAACCATAGCAATAACATAACATAGTTTGACTTTGAGATCTTAAGATCTTCTCATTACCAGCTATAAGTAATTAAGTTTGTATAGTCAAGTCCTCCCCCCATCATGGAACTACTTTGATACCTTACATTAGCTAAGCAAATCTGGAACAGAAGGAGATTTCAGCATCGCACTCAACTAAATTTAAACCCTTACATTACATGAAGACACTCAAGAGGTGCAAGGCAAACCAACACAAACAACTTAGACATCCAGGATGTTAAAATCCCACACCAATGCGCTCAGACAAAAGTAAAGCCATTTTTGTTAGCTGTTGGCCAGTTGTACAGTAACTTACAAATACCTGTGGAATCCCTGACTTTGGGAATACAATGTACTCACCAGAGGATTCTGTCCTTGAAGAAACAGAACAAGCCTCGGAGATACGCCATGTCACTGGCGGCAGAATGAAGGATGAAGCCCACAGACAAGCCACATGACCGACAGGATAACGCATTGTAAGCACTAGAAGCAGAAAGGGAAAAATATTTTTAATTAGAAACCATAGATACTACATGCCTGTCAGACAACATCAAGTCTTCAGTTCTATTAGGACACAAACCCAAGACATAATAGTGCTTTCTCATTAAAAAAAATAATAGATACACAATGTGAACATAAGAAGTTGGGCATGTTGTGCCCAAGTAATGAAGTAATCTCTTTAATAAGTGAAGTTGCAATTACGGAAGAAAATACACGTCTTATTATCACAGAGTGGTTTAGGCTATACAACTCAAACAGGATTGAACCGATAAAACAACACATATGCCAGGTCACAGATGAGAAATTTCCTCTTGATAAAACAGTTATTGCTTCGTGCAGAGAGAGGAGTGGGAAAAATAGACAAAAAACCCAGTAAGTTTTATATTTAAAAAGTTCCCAGTCCTATAGTTTGTAAAACAGCCTTTAAGCATTGCTCAACTGCTCCTCTTCACTACAAAGGTTAGAGCAGTAAAACTTTTGATTTTGACAGAAGCGAAAGCTACATCCCTACAAAAGGTTTCTCCATCCGAAGCGGTGAAGCAAAGATACAAAGTACCTTGGGAGTTTCCTAAGCCCCTCAGAACCCTCCGTGCAGTAGCCGGAGGAGCCCCCGGCTCCCGGTCTTGGCAGAGCCGGCTTTGCCTGCCCGATTTCCCGCGGCGGCGCGATGCCCAGAGCAAGGACATGGGGAGCTACGCACCATCCCAGGAGCGGTTCCTCGAGGCCGATCAAGAGCGAATCCTCCCAGATCACATCACCGGTGACTTCTGCGGAGAGAGAGACGCGCTGCAGGCGAGAGCCCCCGGCCCAACCTCAGCCCGGCCCGAGACCCGCCCAGGGCAGCGGCGCGTCCTCCCGCCCCGCGGCCCCGGGGACAGCGGCAGCGCGAGCTCGGCACCCCCCTCCCCGAGGAGGCACTGACTGAAGCAGGCGAGGAAGCCGAGCCGCGGCTCCTCCGGCGCGCACAGCTGCAGCGAGTCCCCCAGCACCGTCCAGCAGCCGCGGCAGTGGAACACGGCGCACAGCTCCGGCAGCGGACCCTGTCGCCGCGGCGGCGACGCCGGCTCCGCGGCCGGTGGCAAGGAAGACGGCGGCGACGGCGGCGGCGGCGGTATCCGGGCGGCAGCGGTGGGGGAGGATGCCCGCTCCAGCACGATGGTCCCGACGGGCTGCTGGTCCTGGAACAGCTCCCGGTCCTGGAGCAGCTCCCGCAGCGTCCGCCGCACCGCCATCTCCTCCCGCCGCGCGCTCGAGCGCAGCGCCCGCCCCCCGAGCCCGGCGATTGGATCACGCTTCGCGGTCTGCGCTGCCACTGGTCAGCGCGCGCGTCAATCCTGGCCGACCGCGGCTATTGGGCAGCCGGAAACGCCCCAGCGCGCTTGAAACTAAGAACGCGCGGCGGCACGCACCGCCATTGGCTGTTTCCGCGCCCCGCCCCTCGCCGCGGGTCGCAGCCAATGGGCTGGCGCGGCGAGCAGTTCGAACGGCGGGCGCGGCGGGCGCAGTGTCGGTTGGGCGCGCGGCGCGGGCCAGGGTGCCGCTGCCATGCCGCTCGCCTCGTCCCGCGCCCTGGAGGCGATGAAATACGCCGAGCTCCAGCGCCTCGCCAAGGCCGCCGGGCTGAGGGCCAACCTCCGTGTGAGCAGGGCGGCGGGGGGAGCGGTGGCAGGGAGCAGAGCGAGGGGTGGGCGGGGGAAGGTCTGGGCTATGAGGTTCCCTCTCCTCCCGTCCATAAGCCCAGGGCAGCGGGTGTCCCGCCGGGAAGGCGCCCTCACATCCCCGCGGGCGGTGCTTTCGGTGTGGAGCCGCAGCCATCCTCCCCTCCCGGCGCTGCAGCGGCGCTGGAGGCGGCCCGGGCCGCGCGGTGCGTCCCGAGAGACGTGGCCGGGCCGTGCGCTCCCGTGCGGGGCTCGGGCAGGGGCGGCGCGGGGCTCCGGCAGTCTGGCGGCACCGAGGAGGGAAGGCTACCCACCCTCTCCTGCCTCACCCGCTGGTGGCCCCGCTGCCCCTCTCTTGTCCCTGTCCCCGCGCTGTTTCCCCCCCTCCTCCCCCTCGGTGCGCGTAGGTGTGGTGGGTTGGGTGTTTTGTTTACGACTCGGAGTGGGAGGAGCAGTGAGAGAAGGGTGCCTTCAGGGAGAGGAGCGGGTGTGCGCGTTTACCAGCCGCGGTTAAGGAAGAGAAGAAGATTCAGCTCTCCCCGATATCCTGCGTGGTGTAGGTGTGGCGCCTGGCCTCTCCTGGCAGGCGCTGCCAGCAACGGGAGAAGTCACAAAACCTTGAAGAAAATCCCCCACTCCGGGGGACAAGGGAGTTCGTTGTCCTGGCCTGACTAAGAATTTTTCGTGGAGTTTTAGTTTTGGGGTGTTTTGCTCTTAAGCTCCTAGTTTGGGTTTGATTTCATGCTGGTCTTTCCAGTTAGGTGCTTAAGAGTCTTTCGTAGCCTGAATTATCAATGGCATGGTTTTGTTGTTATTCTGTTGCTGCTGAATGTATGCAAGGGATGAAAACTGCTTTGCATGTAGTATGGGCAAGACAGAACTTAGTGCAGAAATTTAATATGATTTTAGTTCATGTTCAGCTGTGCAGTGTTGGTTAAAACAGCCTGTCTCATTCATCCTTGAACAATTAACCTTGTCTGAAAAACAGACAGACCGAAAGAAACCTAGTCAGGGAAATGTGGCTTTGTGCCTCGGTGGAGAATATGCTACATACTTATTTGCGGCCTTAACCACTTTCCCTAATTTGCGTTGAATGGAGCCCTAGACACCTTATTCCATCAGATTCAGAATATTTTCAGCTTGTTTGTTTGATCAATTTATAGGACACTCGTTTTGTTTATGCAGATTTTTGTTTGATGACTTAATGGACTATTTGGTTCATAAATTGCTTTAATTTCTCTCCAGGCAGACAAACTGTTGGAATTATTGAAGCAACACTTTCAAGAAACAGAACAAGAAAATATGGTAATAGATGATAAATCAGCTATTGTTTTTAAGAGATATAAACTTAAATTTGTAACCAGTAGGATGGGGTGTGTGCTGGAGGGTGGTTTTGACCATGAACTATAATAGAAATACCTTTTTCTTCTTAGTGCCTGTAGCTTAATGTACTCATATGCTAATAGAAATAGATATGCTAATGTTAGTTTTGAAGTGGCCTCTCATATGACCCAAAGCTGTTTTCCTTTCAGCTGCAAAAATTAACGGTCTGTTTTTCAGCATCAGTACAAAATTAGTCTCTGTTAACACTAACACCTAATTTTCATTGAACAAATCTTAATTCTTGCCTATTTAGCTCCAGACAATAGTTACTACCAAATATAAAAATATTTTATTTATTTTGCATATCTAGATAGTAATTGGAAAACTTTTTGTGTCTACTACGATTTACTTACACTAACACTATAATGAAAGTGATACAGTGGTACTATTTCCTTTAATCATTTCTTAAGCTATCATTTTCCTAAAATGTATCTCCCTTGAAGTGCTTCCTTTAAAAAACCTTTAAAGGTTCAAAGGACTGCTGTAATCCTTGTTACCTTTTTAAATTTTTTTTTTTGATGAAGTGTTCCATAAATGTACAAATCTGGGAGGGTTGTGGCATTATGCAAGTTAGATTTCAAATATGAAATATTAGGCTTTCATAATATTAAAATACAATGTAATAAAACAATCACAGAATTTATTTTGAGAGTACTCAAAGAGTGAGCTTTGATGTTTGGGGAAATCTAGATATTGCCAGTTTTGTGATTATTATGCTGCTAAATGGCATGCTTGCAACTGTTTTTCCTCTGTGTGAAATACTTTTTCCAGTAATAAAATTGAAACTGTCCCTGGAGTATCTAATTCATGGTTGTGTCAGATATCTACCACATTATAGTATTTTTCTGCTACAGGATCCTGAAAAGAGTGCATCTGCTTCCATCGAATTGGATGAACTGAGCAATCAGAAGGAAATTACGCCTGAATCAGTGTGTTTTATTACAAAAAGATGTGGCAAAGAAAAGAAAATAACCAGAAAAAAGAGGAACTTCCATGAGGAAACTAATACCAGTGAAGAAAACCCAGAGCTTTCTGATGAGAAAGAGGTGATATGCATTGATTGGTTTTGTGTCTCCCCTTCCTCTGAGTGTAATTTAAACATATTTGATTTCTTTTTACCACCATTTATAGATGGTATACACTTACATATATGTGTGTGAGTGTGTGTATATATACATATAAGAATTACAAATGTAATGTTCTGGTATTGGACATTCTAGCACTGACTTTTCTCTATCTTAACTATGTGCTATTCCATAATAAACAGACATTACTTGCTAGTCATTGCTTCAAGGAAATAAATTCCTCTTAAGAAATATACAATACCAAGCACTTTATCTGAGTGTAAGAGTGCTCTAACCTACTTCATGATAGTATTCTGAATATTAAGCTAGTGTCAAAATTTATCTAAAATAAGGCTGTTCTCACTTTTTTAATACAAAAAAATTATCAGAAGTTGCACCATTGCCTAAACTTCACAATTTTTTTTTATTGTGAGTTTTGTATGACTGAGGGAGAGAAAGTTTCAAGGTGAGATGAAGGTAGAATTCTTTTTCTCTAGAATTACAAGGAGTGGGTAAACTAAGAACTGTCTGAAAGACCATTACTGGCCTAAGAAGGGAAATGAAGAGATGAGAAGTGTTAGAAAATTGTACAGTAACCAAAGTTCCAACAGTGAAAAGTAACATATCCAGTGAATTTTTTTTTTACTTGCAAATAATTAACTTTTGTCAATAAAGGCAATTTTATACTAGAATTTTAGAGCTGTGCAGGTGAAAGCTTTCTAATATATCTGTTTGTGAAGTAACAGGGTAAGTATTTCAGAGGTTAATTCAGGTTGGACTTCAGAAAATCTTAATCTCCCAACCAAAGCAGACTCAATTGTAAGGTTAGACCACAGTGTTTGAGGCTTTGTCTAATCTCATATTGAAAACCCCTGATAATGGAGGTTATGCAACTCTCTGGGCAACGTGTTCCACTGATTCACTGTACTCAGAAAAGCAGCCTTTCTCTGGAACAGAAAGGAACAAACAATTGGAAGAAATAGCTTAAATGAAGTATGTTTAAATTGCCAGGTGCATTCTGAAATGAAAGAAAACGAAGTGCCTCAGGATGAGCATGAAAAGGGACAGAAGGTATTCCAAAACAAGAAACAAGTAACCAAAAAGAGAGCTATTGAGAATGCAGGGATGGGTACTGATCAGAAGAAACAAACAGAGAAGATGCCTGTTAAAATCAGGGGAGATGAATGTAAGTAGAACATTGAAAAAAGCAACTTTAATAATTCTTACTACTTAAAATAATCAAGAAGTACATTTAATTTTGTTGTGAAGATTTTTGTGGCATGTCTGATGATTAGTACTTTATTTGGGGATACCAGAAGGAAATCTGTCTGGTTTTCCTTTTAGCATATTGTTACACCAATCCTCAAATTCTGCACTGTAGCAATTTTGCTGGCTTTGACTTCATCTGGACACGATGTTTTTAGTGAAGGAGTTCTCAAAAGTCTGAGTGTATTTGAGTCTTGCACTTCCAAAAGGATCAGTGCCTTTTGGAATATCCCTGAGGCTGTTACTTGGCTCCTTTAACAGGTGGCAAGGAAAGGAGAACTTTCTTCCTAAGGCTTCACTATTTTTTCCTACAGATGAACAGGCTTATCTTTTTTTTTCAAGGAGTAAAATTAGTAGAAAAGGACATCCTTTATAATTTGTTTGAACTACCTAATAGTATCTGTATTCCAGTGCATCATTTTTGCATGTGGTCGTTTTTTTAGCCCTTGCAAGACGATACCACTGCAAATATTAATTTATCCCCCACTCTGTTGTGTATGCAGCTGACAGGAAGAAATGAGTTTTTCTAATCAATCTGATAATTTATTGGTATTGTGGATTTGTCAAGTAAGATATATACCTTTATTTGCTCTGGTTAGGCTACGTGTATGTAGTCTGTAAACTGGACTATGGATATTGTTGCTATTCAGTAGAATTTACAAGGACGATCTTATGGGAGACCACCTATAATTTTGAAAGTAGCTTAGTATAATTTTCAATGAAGGTTATTTACAAAACAGAAGCAATAGAGTATTGTGGAGGATGCTTGGGCTGAAGCAGCATTCATCCTGACAGCTGGTACAGTACTCATCTGTTCCTGTAACTGTAGTTACAAGTGTCGGTATTACTTGCTATGTTGAGGTTTTGTGTCTTGGTGTTTTGTTGGTGTTTTTTGTTTTTATTTTGGGGTTTTGGGGGGGATTTTTTTTGGTGGTTTTCTTTTG